CCCTAACATCATTTAACATACTTATAATGGGCTTGCACCTTGGTCCTAAAATCTGTGAAAGGAAAGTCTCTACCAAGTTGTTATCAACTATGTCAGATCTAGGTGTTGTGCACAAAAAGGTCTTGACCCATCGAGTTGGACTGACCTTGATGATTTCGCTGGTTAATCCTTCTCCTAACTGTTCAAGGAATGTCCAATGTTAAAAAACTTTTACATTTTTAGATGGAAAGGCAATAAAAATTGAATTCAAATTACCAACTCTACAATGGAACAAATTATATATATAAGTTAGAAAATGCTTTCATTTCTTAAAGTTTGCACAAAGTCCTAATCCATAGAATTTACTGATTAGTTAATAAAACTGAGTAAAAGAATAATCAAAAGGAAAGTTAATAGAATCTGAAAATGAGTGGTTTCTCAGAGCAACTTTATCTTCTTCCTCATTTTCTTTTATACGAAACAATGGACTCATAAAGCACCTGATATATGGATATTCTTGTAAATACCTGTTTGCAATAGTATTTGGATATTCATGTGAACTCACAGCGTCCACAGTCTGATAGGAAAACATCTTAAAACCAATCACTTGAGCAAAACACTTCTAATCAATCAAAATAACAGAAATCATAGATTAACCAGGAAAAAAAAAGAACACAACAGGTAAAAGATCTCAATAATAGGAGACTAATAGTTCTGAAGAATGTATCCAAGTCTAAAGAATCTGCACCAATATTAATAGAAGGTTTGTTTACCCAGTTGAGACATTTCATGTTGTTATTTTCATCTATTTACTTTTTACTAAAGTTGCAAATTGCTCTAAGCCACGTCTGAGTAAGCTTTCAAGAAAAGGTTGCAGGGCCTGGATGCATTGACAGTGGAATACAATTGAAGGTCCGTGTTAGTTCAATTACAAAGAAAAAGTTTTATAAAGAGAATAACATATTATTAATCTTCCTTCAAAGTGATGGAATAATGTAACAATAATTTAAGGTAAGAATACTCACTGATGCAACTGGGACTAATAATTGTGGAACTTCATATGAAACAGTTAACTGAAAACAGAAAATAGCAATTGTAAGAACCTAACTCGTCAGCAAATAGAATAATAGAATGCGACTGGGTTTATCTGCTTTCCATTAATTTCCTTTCCTTCACAAGTCTGAGATGTACAATAATCACAAGTGTAAGATATGTAAAGAAATCTATACTGTTTGTACTTATTTCCTCGTGCCATCAAAATGGCTTGAACTAATAGAAGGGTGTAATCCTTTTCACAGATGGCATATATCAAAAAATGCAATCCAAAACAGTACAAGGACAACCAGAATGGATGATGAGCAGTGCAAAAACAAAATCCAAAATGTAGTTTTGAAGGGAGAAGGATTTCGAGAGAAAGAAGAGAATTGTTTCTCTACTCTTTTCCCCTTGCATTACAGAAAAGATGGAGTGCCATTTTATAGGCTCCATGCATGCGTAACAAACATTATAACAGAATGAAAACAGAAGGAATATTGTGGTAGTGGAGCAGCTGGCTATGCCACCTGTCCAAAGCAGAATATTCAGCAAATACTAAAGTACTCTCTAACAGCTAATGCTAATTTTCTACACTTCCTTTCAATCTAGGTACATAGATATTGAGTAAACCTAGATTGATACAATATTATTAAATGCTCCCTTTAGAAGAGTTTTTGTAAGAATATCTGCAGTTTGTTGATTGGTTGGAACATATAGAAGTGTTATAGATTGGTCTTCTATCTTTTCTCTGATGAAGTGGCGATCAATCTCAACATGTTTAGTTCTATCATGGTGCACAAGATCTTTGGCCATGCTGATGGTAGATTGATTATCACATCAGAGTTTCATAAAGATAGGAACTAAGAACTTAAGTTCAAGTAGTATCTTTTTCAGCCACACACCTTCACATACTCCATGGGCAAGTGACTGTAACTCAGCTTTGGCACTGCTCCTTGAAACAACTAATTGCTTCTTGCTACACCAGGTGACAAGATTACCCCATACATACAAACAATAAGCAGATGTGGACCTCTTACCAGTTACTGATCCTACACATTTTGCATCAGTGAAGATTTCAATGTTCCTGTTCATACTCTTTTGAAAGAATAGCCCTTGTCCTGGAGTCATTTTTAAGTATCTCAGAATCCGGTACACAGCGCTCATGTGTCCTTTAGTGGGTTGAGACTTGAATTGGCTTACGGTACTCACAACGAAACTAATGTCTGATCTTGTGTGAGCTATATAGATAAGTTTGCCAAAGAGTCGCTGGTACCTTTCTTTATCAACCGGTTTATCATCAATTTTGAGACCAAGTTTAATATTTGACTCTATAGGTGTTCCTGCAGGTTTACAGCCAAACATACCTATTTTTTTTAGAAGGTTTAGGAGATACTTACGTTGTGATACAGAGATTCCTTTCTTAAATCGAGCTATCTCCATTCCAAAAAAATACCTTAATATCCCAAGGTCTTTGATTTCGAATTCCTTAGCAAGGAAGTTTTTGAGTTTTAGGATCTCTTCATCATGATCACCTATCAAAATAATATCATCAACATGCACAATTAGGACAGCTATCTTCCTTGAAACACTGTTTTTGACAAATAGAGTGTGATCAGACGAGCACTGTGTATATCCCATATGTTTAACTGTCTTGGAGAATATTTCAAACCATGCCCTTAGTGACTGCTTGAGACCATAGGGGGTCTTTTTCAATTTACATACCTTTTGCGGATTTATTTCAAATCCTGGAGGGACTTCCATATACACCTCTTCTTATAAATCACCATTGAGAAATGCATTTTTCACATCAAGTTGGTAAAAGGGCCAATCAAGATTTGAAGCAAGTGAGAAAAGTACCTGGATGGTGTTATGCTTGACAACTGGGGCAAAAGTTTCCTGATAATCAATCCCATATGACTGGGTAAAACTTTTAGCAACAAGGCGAGCTTTGTATCGACTTATACTTCCATCAGGATTATATTTTGTAGTAAAAATTCATTTACATCCTATTGAAATTTTCTCTGAGGGCTGTTCAGTTAACTCGCATGTCGCATTCTTTTCAAGTGTTTTGATTTCTTTTTAAATAACAACTTTCCATTCAGGGAACTTGAGTACTTCATGAACTATTTTTGGTTCAGTGATGTTGCTGTCAAGTTTACTTACAAGTGCATGAATTGTTAGAGATAGCTTACCATATGAGGCATACTCCTGTATGGGATGCATGGTGCAAGAGCGAACACCTTTTCTCAAAGCAATAGGTAACTCATTATCAATATCAGTATCAATCAATGAGTCTGATATTTCATTACCTGGTGTGTTCTGAGTGTTTGGTCCAGGAGTTGATTCATGACATTGCATAGTTGGTTCAGAAGTTCTACCAACTTGAGTCTTATTCTTTCTTGTGTAGACACATAAGTTACTTTCTGCAAATAATGTGTTATCAGTATCTGTGATAGGTTCATACTCTTTTGTGGTTTCAGGTACAACTAGCTCTTTATTGGTTTCAGGGTCATGTTCAGTTGTTTGAGGAGGTGTATTTGGTAAGAAAATATGTGGAGGTGGAGGTAGGTCAATATCCCACAATAGATATTCTTGAGTGAAATTCTCCCCCAAAATATCTATTGTGGGATAAAATGGTTGATTTTCAAAAAAAGTTACATTCATAGTGTTGTAAAAACGATGAGTACTTGGAAAAAAATATTTGTATCCTTTTTTATTTGAGAAGTATCTAACAAAAACATATTTAATAGCCCTAGGGTCAAGTTTTTCCCGAAGATGAGTATGAATGTGAATATAAGCAGTGCAACCAAACACTTTGAATGGAACAGTGTTTAAGATGTGAGATTTTGGGAAGGCTTGAAAGCGAGTGTTGTAGGGAGTTTTAAACTTGAGAACACGGGTAGACATTCGGTTGATCAAGTAGGTAGCAGTGAGAATAGTTTCTCCCCACAGGAATTTAGAAATATGTGTAGTGAACATCAAAGAACGAGCAACTTCAAGAATATATTTGTTTTTTCTTTCGGCTACACCATTTTGTTGTGGGGTGTAGACATATGAACTCTGGTGAATAATACCTTGATTAGTAAGGTACTGTCCTAGGGTGGATTCAAAATACTCGCAAGCATTGTCAGTTTTCAAAACTTGTATCATGGTGTGGAACTGGTTTGGAATCATGGTGTTGAAATTCTGGAATATGTGGCTTACTTCAAATTTTTCTTTCATTAGAAAGACTCAAGTGATTCTAGTGTAGTCATCAATGAATGATACATACCATTTTCTTTAAGTAACATTTTTAACTCGTGAGGGTCACCATACATCATTATAGATTA